GAACTCACGGACCGCGAGATTGTGACCTGGCTGAAGTCGGACGCTTAACCGACTGTGCCACCCAGGCGCCCCGTAATACTTTAAAGAACAGTTTGAAGACCACCAAGTAATTTCGGATATTTTCTAGTTCAGTACCGAGCAACTTTCTTCCAGAGCTTTATTTTTATTCATGAGAGCCAAAGTACAGCACCTTAGGGCATCCAGCCTGCGGTGTTGAGATGGAATCTGGTTGTGACATCCAAGCTTTGCATAGTAATAAAGTCATTTTTATTTCTTTCACCGTGTCACGCATTCCTATAGCTTGATACTCTAAGGAATATTTGAGGCATCTCCAACATATATTACTTAGTCAAAATTCTAGTAGAAATGTTTGGTGGTCACTTCACATTTTTTTTGAAAGGAACACAAGTGTATTTTGATGGATCTCTAATCCCACTGAAGTTGAGATTTAAAAGAATTGGGAAGATGGGGCGCCTGAGTGGCTTAGTTGATTAAGCGTCTGACTCTTGACTTCAGTTCAGGTCATGATCTCACCATTCATGAGTTCGAGCCCCACATCAGCTCTTCACTGACAGTATGGAGCCTGCTTGGGCTTCTCTGTCTTCCTCTCTCTCTCTGCCCCTCCCCCATTCATGATTGATCTCTCTCTCGCAATCTCTCTCTCTCTCTCTCTCTCTCAAAAACAAAAAAACCAAAAAACAAATAAACATTAAAAAAAATAATTGGGCAGATATTTTAATTTAGTGTGAGTCTATCAGCAAGATTGTTTACTAGCTCTGCCTCATTGGAACAAATCTAAGGAACTACACCGGCTAGAAATATCCAGAATCAACAAAGGCTATGCGTCCAACCTTTGTGTTTTATCAAGATGCTCACTTGAAACGGAATTGGACAATCAGACAAAATTACACGGCCAAGGTAAATTCTCATTCTAATGACAAATATATTCAGAAAACGTACATCCAAGCTTTACGCAAATCATGTATCAATTCTCCCCTCTCTTGCCTTGTTGTAATTTCAGATAAGCCCAGCACAGAAAGATGTTTCCACAGGAAACACTACTAGGAGAATCACAAAAACGTGGCGATGGTTGTTCCACCTCCTTTTACTCTCACAGCAAATCATTTTCCAGGAGCACAGGAAGCCGCAATAACATGAGTATAAGAGTAAGCTTTAGAATGAACAAAAACCTGAGTTTGAATTCTGGCTCTGCCATTTACCAGCTCTGTGACCCTGACCAGATCACTTAAAACACTCTGAGTCCTCATGCCCTTCTGAGCACAGAGGGGCAGGGATGTGTTGCACAGAGTTTTTACATCAATGAATGAGATAACACAAGCAATGTGCTAGCATAGTGCCGGCCATGCTGCCTGCACGTGATACATAAACAGCAGCCATTCTTATTAATTATTATTATTAACCGAGAGTGCCAAATGGCCACAGAATCCCCTTTAAGGGTAGGAAGGAATGCCAGCTGCTGTGGAGACAGGAATTGCCCACACAAATGCTACTTTCAGAACCTTTTCCTGAAGAGAAACTCCGTGTTCATAGTTCAATACTCAGGGAAGAATCTGAGATCAAGAACTTTAGCTAGGAGACTGCTGTTTTTGGTTTTTGTTTTTGTTTTGTTTTACAATTACCATCACGAACCATCCCCTTTTTCCTCCAGAGGGTACATTTCAACAGGCTTTACTAGATTTATAGATTGAACGTAAGCCACAAAAGACCATTATTGCGTGGCTGTCTCCCCCTTCGGTCTTACATTTGCCCAATATTAAGGCTCATAGTCTTTCTCTGCACCTGAGAACATTATTCCAACAAAGAGCTTCTTACAAAACTAATGGTCTAAAGAAAGAGACAGGAGGAGGATTAAATGAAACAGCGTGTGATAATGGTTTGGAGGAGGAAAAGCACTTTTCCAGGACAGGGTGTTATTAATATTGACAAATTATAAATCTCTATCTCTGTATTTCTATCTACCACCTTTACGGTTTCATCTGCCTATGTGGTTTGCGGGCGCATGAATATAGTTCTCCACCCACTCACTTTATAAAAATACATTGTCACTTCAAATACCCAATCTCTTGACGTACAGTTGAGTTAATACATATAAGGATCTTGTCCTATGTAGGGCATGACAGATGTCTTAGCTATTTCTTGCAGGTATTTTGAAAATCTGTAGGAGCCCATTGGATTTTCGTGAAGTGGCATATATCTACATGTGTCAAATGCAGTGCAAGGACTTTATGTGACTCTATTTATTTTCCCTGAAGTATACTTATTTGAAAAATGATATTCTCTTCATTTCTATTTTTACGAGAGGTTAATTTCTGGAAAGAAAAACATCTCTTAGAAGTGAACTGGGCAACGCGCTTAGTTTAAAAGAAATACGCAACCATGAGTCACATTGCCATGGGGCAGCAAATCAGTTTGACACATTCGCTTATTTGGCTCAAAAAATAAAAAATAAGAAGCTCAGTGATGAGTCGGATGTTGTCAAGTCCTTACAGCAGGGTTTGGTTTGGATTTACTGCATAAGTCCGCACTTCAGACTAGTTTGGAAGTCATGAAACGTTAGCTAAAAGTGTTTCCTGAAAACGATTGCTGAAGCCAACAGCCAAGATTGCATGCCGTGGGGATAATAACACAGAGGCATAAAGGTAAGTGTACAAGGATGTTCATGCAGGTCCGCAAAGCACCTAGATCGTGTGTGTGAGACACATGGTGTGTGCTCACTGCCTACGGCCTACGATTAAAATAAACACCCGTTTTCCTTATTAGGCCTTATTCTCTATGAGGACAGGGGCCACGTCTATTTATGGTCACTGTTGTACCCCGGTGTCTAGAATGTAGGGGGTACTCAACAATTATTTGCTGAATAAATACATAAATGAAGTCCCACAAGTGGGAAACAAATCAAATGCCCATCAAGAGAGCAATGGTTAATCTGAGTACGATAAATCTAGACGATGGGATTCAGTGGAGTTGCTGTAAAGAACGAGGTGGCTTTACATTGGGGATGCAACCCCAAATACCCCCAGGGACAGGGACAGTGACATAAATGAGAGAGCTGGGCGGGGTGTGACAAGAGGAAGTGACGGGGATGTGGTGAGCTGGAAAGTCATGGCTTCTGTGTATTTGAATTATTCACAATGATAACACATTGTTATAAGGAAAACAAAGCAGACTGCAAGACAAAAATCATTAGGATATCTGGAATTTTTAGGAAGAATCCCCCAAATCATGGAAGGTTTGGAGTTCAAACATTAATAGAAGGGAAGAATGTTCAGGCTTCCAGACATAACTCTTTCTATGCACGGTAGATACTAAGAACAATGGATGTTATAAGACCTGATGCTATGAATCCACTGAGGGTTGCTAGGGAAAAATGTGTCTTCCTCTACTCCTATCCCTGTCCTAGGGAGAATTAATTAGAAAGGACTCTTTTGTTTCCAGTTTGTTCCCCTAACAGTTCAGAGGTACCCAGGTTGTATTGCTAGAAAATATCCCCGAGAAACCTCTAAAGGATAGCTCTGGAGGATGGATTTAAGTAATGTGAGACCTCATTAGAATTTAAGGATTTGTTTCGAGCGGATGTAGTGAGTGGTTTAGATGTCTTTCATGCCTTATTTGGAATCTCTTGCATTTTCTTGTCTTTTAAGTAAAGAAGTCTCAGGGCGGTTATTTGGAAGAGAAAATCATGCTCTTTGCTATCGGGGAGGCGGGGGAGGGTATCTCTCAACTCCATCCAGAAATGGGAAAGTTGGATCGCTCTCAATGTTATGATGAGCTATTTGGGGATCCCATTTGTAATGTAGATGGGTTGCCAGAAACCGGCCAAATGTTCTTTTCTTTCCTGACATAGCATAAAAATTGGTTGAAAAATCTCAGATCTTGATCCCCATTTTTAGCGCCAAATTGCAGAGTAAATGACGAGGAATGTACATGGAGTCCCAGCCATACAGGCTGATTGCTACTTACTGTATACTTCCTACTCTCTGAGAATCCACTGATAAGAGAAAATGAATCCTGTCAACAATTTCTAGCAGGGTTCTCCTTAATATGCCTCAGCTCCCATTGGCATGGGTTTTGTGTTGTGCTGTGTGGTGCTGTGTTGCGTTGTGTCGTGTTGTGGACCAGAAAGAATTTCTTAACAGGCTGAGCCTGTGAAACCAGAGAGTTGCTTTCTCAAAGGATTAAACTCCCAAAGACTCCTGAAAATAACGGCACACTATAATGAAATTCTTGTTTTTCATTAAAAGAGAATTAAACCAATGACCTTTTACGTGGGTTTTTGTTTTTTGTCTTCCAACCAAGTTGGGTTTTGTTGCATTATATTATTTAAGTTCTTGGATGTTTAGTTATTTCATGTACATGACACTTCATAGACACCAAAACACGTCTGCCCACATTCTTTCCATTTTATACAAGCTAAAAGCACGGAACAAGTTGTACGTGCTCGCTATTAGAAATTATGTTGCCACTTTATAACTGGAACTATTTATAAATCGGCTTTGTCCACATTTGTGTGACTCACATGTCACTTTCAGAATTTTTCTAACGTCAACATGTAACTTGGCCTATTTATTACCTGGTCCTCTAAACAATGCCTTATGTTCTTTATGTAAATATATGGATTTTCAAAGGAAACAGCATGTCATTACCATAATGAGAAAAATAATATCATTTGCCATACACAGAAGGAAACTTTAAAAATAAATTAAATTAAAAGTGAACAATAATGCTGACTTCCAGGTAGGTGCGGTTGGCTACCGCAGCTCAGGACCCAAGGCCAGCTCTGTCTTTGTTAAAGAGGGAGTTGGCAGGAGTTAAGGAAAGATTAAGGAATATTAGCAATAAACTGAGACTTTCTCTGTGATGGAGTCAGAGGGATGAAAGGGAATTTTCTCACTGCACACTTCAGATTCCACTTATATCCCGTCTACACCACCCACAGTTATGTCTCACCCCACCTACGATGCGGGTCCTTCGCTCTCGGAAGCTGATCTGGGTATTTCAGGTTTCCTGTGCTGGAAGCAGGTGGCTTACCATTTGTCTGAGAAACGCCATCAGGGAGGTTCTTGGTGGTCTGGGGTCTTCTCTTTTGAGTTTTACTTCTGTGGGTTCAGGTGTGGTATCTCCTTCCTCGTTGAGATCCACCGTTTGTAAGGCTGATTCTACTTCCTCGGACTTTACAACCTCTACTGGTGATTCACACACCACCTGGATTATTTTGCCAGGTAATAAGACAGTGAATAAAAAGACATTCCCCAAAAGAGGCTTGAGAAAGTGGGGTCCTGGTCACCCCTTCTTCACAGAGTAGCTACAGGTTTGAGCCAACGATCATTTCTACGCAGGCACATCTTCCAGAAGTAATGCTCATGTCATATAGTGGGCTTTCTTTTTCTTTTATGTTTATTTATTTTGAGAGAGAGAGAGAGAGAGAGAGAGAGAGAGGGAATGCCAGCAGGGGAAGGACAGAGAGAGAGAGAAGGAGAGAGAGAATCAAGCAGGCTCCTCCTTGCTGATCGCACAGAGCCAGACTCGGGCTCGATCTCATGAACCATGAGATCATGGCCTGAGCCGAAATCAAGAGTCAGATGTTTCACGTACTGAGCCACCCAGGTGCCGCCATATAATGTGCTGTCAAACAGCCAACTTCTAAAAAAATGCCAAATCCACTGACTTGGGAGTAGCGAGATTCCTCCTGCCTGAGGTTCAAGGCTTCGACAGAAAGCCCCTCTTGGGGACTGCCGTCCGTCACATGCTCAACGCCCCTCCCTTCCAGGAGGCCCACCTCTTTGGTCTGCCATCAAGGTGACTTACACCTAGCCTGTGTAAAAATCAGGAGTGAATTGTTTCCTTAAGGGTCCACCCTCAGAGACGGTGACCGTGACATCTCCCATCACGTGCCCTACATCTACCCGCAACTGTGGAGAATTCGTCCTCTCTGCGGAAAGGATAGAGTGAAAGCCACACTGGATTGAACAGACTGGGCTTCCTCCTAAACTTACTTCCCACCCCACCCCAGGGCCGGTCATGTGCCATTGTTTCTTAACTGAAATTCATGCTTTCAGAAGAAAACCAAACTTCGCAAGAAAACTGGCCAAGTTCCTTACGGCCCCCAGCGAGGTACCTAGTGAGCTCAGTGCCCCCTGGATGTCCATGGGGGACAAGGGATGGCCAGCAACGCGGGGTTTGGATGGAAGATCCCATTCACCTGCACTCTGATTCCAAATTCCGTTTTTTGCATCGCCTCACCCCATTTGTGCTGTGCCCCGGTCACATCTGGAACAGTTTCTGCTTTCGCACTGATCCCTGCAACAGATTTAATTGGCCCTGAGAGGGCTTCATAATTTCTTTTTTGGTTTCCTCGGGCAGGGGCTGGCAAGCTACTCCCAAATCCAGCCCAGAGACTGTTTTAGTACGGCCCCGAGCTACAAATGGATTTTACATTTTTAAGGGGCTGTAAAATGCTTTTTTAAAAGATGAAAAAGTAGGCAACAGAGACCACATGTGGCCTGCAAAGTCTGCAATATTTACTGCCCGGCCCTTTGCACAATATGCTTGCCTTCCCCTGCTTCAGAGACAGTTGCTCTAGAGCCAAAGGTATCTGTGCGTTTGTCTTTGCTGGTGCCAGGTGCCGCCCCTTCCTCGGAATCTTGTTCTTGCTGTCAGGGAGTTGGGGGGAGGAAACTTAGGTATTCCTAGAAACACAGCATGCCTGTGGAGAAATCATCTTCCTTCCGTTCATCCAGAATATACCATTGGTTTGCCCGTGACCCCAGTGATCCAGACTGAGAAGGACCCTGAATTTCTGCACTGTCCACCGAAGCCCGTTAACCAATCAGCATGAGGGACCAGCCTGAAATATAGCAACTGAATCACAGCCGTCTCTCCCTGCCTTCCATTTCATAACACATCAGCATGACTTCGAGCATCTTCCGTCTGTAGACAAAGATACGGGGAAGTCATCAATCGATCTGGGGAGTCATCAACTCGAAAGTCTGAAGGACGCAAAGCAGGGGAGATCGGCATGGATTGACCATAAGAGAGCAAGGAGCTGCAGGGGTGGGGTGAACACAAGCCAAGTTGTCCCATCTTAAGACATAGGAAGAATGAAAGCACTGGACAGCCAAACAGCAGATGTTTGGGAAGAGGCTTCTCCTGCTGCAGGGCTGTCTTGCCCTGACCCAGGCCCATCTTGGGAAACCGGGATGAGATTGAAGCCAGGTGACATACAGGGAGTGGTGGTCAGACGTGGTCATGGGTTTCCATATCTGGGCCTGGTTCCGTTCAGTTGCATTTCTGAAAAAGAACCTTCAGCCACAAGGGTCCCGGGGTGAGCCTGACAGGCAGGCGGTCTGACCTAGTGACCACGAGATCAGCCTGCAGTGCCTTCCTGGCTCGAAGTCTTGACTTCACCCCTTACGGAGGCTCTAAACAGAGGTCCCTACTCAACATCCCGACATTGAGACGATGGGGTTTCCATCTTCTCAATGGGGACAGTATACACATCAGAAAGTTGTCTGCAAAATTAAATCCAGGAAGTGCACGTGAAGCTCTTAGAACGGTTCCTGACACATAACAAGCACTCAGTTACCACCACTGGCTGTTACTTGAGCTATTATGAGAGCTGTTTATTTCATGGGCCTGAATAATGTGGAATCACCTGCCATGCACATGCCCATTTTTTAGAGATGATATTAATAACCACCTCTTACCATGCCTGACATCGTGCAGAGTATTTTTAATATATTCCCCCAGTGAATAGTTATTGAATTATTAAAGAGCTCAGAGTAAGATAACATTGTCCCTATCCTATAGATGAAGAATGTGAATGACTGAACGGCTTGGCCAAAGTCATAGCACAGGTAAGTAGCCATTTCAATGGGGATGGAGTTGTGGACCGGTAACCGAATACCTAATATGGCTTAACCAGTAATGATACAGAACCAGTTTGAAAGTAGGAAGTTCTAGGATTGGTTCTATGGCTCCACAATGTCTTTAAAAACATGGGTTCCTTCTATCCTTTGGCTTTCCCATCTTTGGCATGCTGGATTTTCACCCTTTTATTTGTTACCTCATGGATATATAAGTAGCTGCCACAGTTCCAGGCATGACATCCTCAACCCAATGTCTTAAAAAATGGAGGAAGTTCCCAGCAAAAGCTTTCCTCCAAACGAACGTCTGTATTTTGATTCCCTACCTTAGCATACATTGCACTGGCCAGAAGTTGTCACATCCTTACCCCTGGACAAATTGTTGTTGAAAAAAAAAATGGGAGTACTGTTTTAGACTGATAATGATCAAATACTTTGTGGGTATGGTAGTTGCCAACCTTGCCTGAGATCATGGGGAAAAGGGTGGAGAAATGGGAAATAACCCTGAGGTCGGTAATGACCAGAGTCTGACTCATTGAATCTGGGTGCAGAATTATTCTGTCTCTGAAGCAGCGAGTTCCTTTTTTTGTATGTAAGGGCCTGGAGGGAAAATTACATAATAAAATAATCAGACTGTATGGTAACCTCATCAATCAACCTTTCGATTGCCAATGGTTTTCTTGCTGGGCCTCTACAAATGGTAAGTGGTGTCAACTCATAAATCCTAGGCCAGAGTCCATTCTTCAAAACATAACTATTTCGGTAGGCGAAAAAAAAAAAAAAAAAAAAAAAAAAAAAAAAAAGGCTGACGTGGGCGATACTTCTAGAGAGTCCCATTAGCTTTGAAGTCAGGCCAAGAAATTGGCTTTCAGCAGCCAAGGAAAATCCACCGATTTCCAGTGTGGAAATCCAGAAGGATTTGAGCTGAGTGAGGAGCTAATTTGCATATACAGACATAGAATTTGATTTTTGTCCGGATAGTTTTCCGATCTCCTTCCAGCCAAGGCTTTGGAAGAAGTCGCTCCTTCTTTAGAATATATAACTGCATCTGCACATTTTAATTTGGGGCATGATGGATGCGGTGAAAATCAGATGTGTGCTATACTTCAGCGTGGATTGGCTTGACTTCATTAGGGGATATTATACTTTGCCTGAAGATGGCTAGTGCATTTAAGACAGAGAATACACATTTCAGCAAGTTTCCACTTTTTGCCTCAAAGATTATACCATCCTTACTCTTCGCATTTGGATTATACAGTTTTCACTAGAACTGCGAGTTCTGGAGACTGATTTACAGCAAAACAGATTTCTTCCACCTAAACTTCACCCATAATACAAAAATATTGATATTAACAGTTTTTACTTTAGAATCTCTTTAAGATGCTGTCTGATTTAATTTATAACACGATTATTTGATTACCAAGACTGGGCAAAGATTTTATTTTTCAACCCAGGGACTATTCTCCTTCGTTCTCTTCATGGAACCCCCATTTTGCTTTGGGGGAACAATACACCCTAACCGTAAGACTGCATAACTGGGTCGAAGTTGCTTGAGCAGATCTAAGCCAATCCACATGGTCTAGCTCATTGGCCATATGAGTTTAGGGATGGGAATATGTGGCAGAATGTATTATTTTCCCAATTTTTCACTCTGGCTTCCTGTACAGCGCTTATAGATCTGTGCCCGTTGTTGTGTGACGTGCTTTGGCAAATGCACCGTGAGCAGATGTGATGGAAAGCCGGACTGAGCGGAAGGTCTCAGAGCCCTTGCATGGTTCACCCCCGGCACTGTCTTCCCTTGGTCACTACAATTGCACACCCTTGTTGAAGGGGCTGTTTTTCTCAGTCTAGATCTCAGCAGGAAGAAGCCACATGGATCAGCCACAGAGAACCCACAGCTGCCACATAGCCTGGAGGAGGAAAACAAGAATCCTTGCTATTGAAAGCCACTGCAGTATGGGGCTTCGATTTTGCACCAAAATCTGGCCAAAGCTGATTAATAGAGCACGTGAATCCGCGTAGGTCCATGAAGGAGAACAGATTCGAGGACAGGCAGAGTTTGTACCGGACCAATCTCTCCTTTGCTCAGAACTGGGCGACGTGACATCGGAAGGTGGAAATGTAGGCAGGCCAGGAAGCCTGAGCCACAGGAAAGCCCCGAATCAAGACTCATTTAAAACCAATTCTGCTTCCCAGTGATGAGTGCCAATAAATTCCTTTTTAAAAACAAATCCAGATTGGGTTGGGTTTTCTTTCACTTGCAACCATGAGGTTACTTCCTAAGAGAGGTAAAAAACAGAAGTACCTATTTCCTTGATGGTATAGGTCATTGGGAGGGAAAGATTTTTTCCCCCATTAGCTAGCACATTAATTGAATTAAGCAAGGGCCAAAATATTCTCAGATGACAGAGGAATGATTCTTTAGTTTCTGCAGCAGATTTTATGTCTGATAGGACCCGAAGCACATTCTAGGAAAAGTGCTAAACTTCCACAGGTTTTTAAAAAAGCAAAACAAAACAAAAACGAACCATATTCTAGCCAGACGTCGCTAGATAAGACTCTTATAGTATGGTTAATCACACTTAATAGTTCTGTTTTGAACTGTACGTTGTTTTGATTAATGCCATCTCCCTTATTTGGGAGGAGGAAATTAAACTAATTATTTCATGCATGCCTTCACTCGACGTGGGCACTTAGGGATGTGTAATTGCTCGAGGAAATACAATCTCTGATCACTGGGAGCACTCACTCTACGCTGCCATTGAAGCGGGGAGGCAGCCACAGGTGATATGCACATGAATGAGTGTGGTTGTATTCTAATAAAACTTTATTCATAAACAGTAAAATGTGAAGTTGGTGACATTTTTATGCACCACCCCCCCACAAATATTATTCTTTCAATTATTTCAATGATTCAAAATGTAAAAACCAGGGCGCCTGGGTGGCTCAGTCGGTTAAGCGTCCAACTTCGGCTCAGGTCATGATCTCGTGGTTTGTGAGCTCGAGCCCCGCGTCGGGCTCTGTGCTGACAGCTCGGAGCCTGGACCCTGCTTCGGATTCTGTGTCTCCCTCTCTCTCTGCCCCTCCCTTGCTCTTGTTCGGTCTCTCTCTGTCTCTCAATAATAAAGAAACGTTAAAAAAAAAAATCCAAATGTAAAAACCAATTTTAGCTTGTGGGCCCTACGGCGATGGGCTGGAATTGGCTTGTGAGCTGCTGTTTGCTGACCCCTGAATTACTGAATGCTTTCTGTGTTTTGGGCACTGAAACAAGCACGTTAAATGCATTGTTTGCTTAATTCTTGCAAGAACCCTAAGGGGTGGGTAATATCATTGTGGGCATTTAAGAGATGAGTAAACTGAGGTCCAAGAGGGGGCAGAGTCTGGGGATAAAGGGCCCAAGACACACTGCTTTTAGCCTCATCCCTCCAACTAACAGGCAGACAAAGAAATGCTGGAGCTTAAAAACAGAAATGTTCTTTTGAGGGCTAAGTAACCTAAAGCCATTTTGATAATGCATCTTCATTTTCTTGAGAAAATATTTTGCTTTCTTTGATACCTTCATCAGCTTTTCTGTTCTCTTTTGGCATCAGTAATTTGACTTTAGTTTACGTTTATATTTCTGTTCCGAATTTCACATTAGAAAAGGAAATACTTCCTCTTTGTCAGAGGTCAACCCTGCGTTGATGCGGGGTTCCTCGAACAGGTAATGGCACACAAACATCCAAAAAGAAGTTTCTCTCCAAAAAACTCAGAACCTCAATGCTAACTGATGCCCCAGGGTTAACCTGCAGCTTTTAAATGTAAAGTTCATGGAGGAAAAGACTCGCACTGTTCCTCCTCACAGGTTGCTGAACTAGAGGCTTTGGCTCCGTAGAAAATAGCTGGTAAATTCATGAGAATTTTTTGGAATTATGAAAGATCTGGGCTTTGCTGAGCTCGTAAGTTTGACTCATAAGAGAAGGGGAAGAAAGAAAGACAGAAAGAAAGAAAGAGAAAGAAGAAAGGAAGAAAGAAAGAGAGGGAAGGAAGAAAGAAAGAGAAGGAAGGAAGAAAAGAAGGAAGGAAGAAAGGAGAGGTGGGGGGAGGGAGGAAGGGAGGGAGGGGGGAAGGAAGGAAGGAAGAGGGAGGGGGGAGGGAAAGAAAAACAATTACAATAACAAAAAAGCAGATTTGAAAGACCTTTCTCCTAGCAAGAATTGTAACAACCATTCTGATTTCCATCCCACATCACAGACAACATTTCTGGAACAGACTTGGATTTTCAACATCAGTTCAATGCCAGCAATTAAATAAAAATGAAAACACAAGCTCTCTCCAAGGCTAGCAAACAAGAGACACCTAGAAAGAGCCAAACATATTTTGCTTTGGCAAAACGATAATGATCAGTTTCTATCTTAAGGAGCTGTGAACTCGCTTATCCTCACTTGTAAAATTTTCCAAGACTGTACTCCATTCAGAGCAGAAAGCTGCTGACTCATGAGGACAATTGATTAATCTCCCTGGAAGATGTTTTTGGAAAACTGCATTTTTGCGGTGCCTCTATGGAGCCATCCCCTTTAGACGTGAACGCACAGTCTGGAGGGTTTGGACAGTGAGGTCCAGCCTATGTCTCCCAGGTGTAGACCCAAGGAGTCGGTTCTCCCGCCCAAGAACAACAGTCTTAGCATCAAGTGCAGCAAGATGCTCTCATGCTTGACGCACCTATCTGTCCTGGGTACCGCCCACAGTTAGTAGAGAATCTGGGTTGCCATGGAAACAGAGAGCGATCAAGGTAGAAGAAGCGCAGGGGGCAGCATCATTGCCCCTTAAGGAAATGGAAGGATGGTCTTAAGTGTGATAGACTCTTTCAGCCCCTGGATGATGACAAATTATAAAAACGCATGCTCTGACTTTGTGATTTCGTTTGTGCTGATTTCATAGGCATTGCAAATATTCACCCAATGTTATTCCCCACTGGTCCCTAATCACATGAAAGGCTGAAAGAGTCTACGGCAGATGGGAGACACTTGGGGCAATGCAAGAACACAGGACCCCAGAGCTGAAATGCCCAATGGTCCAGCATGCGGAAGATGAGAATGAAATGGTTCTGCCATTTAATGCATAACTTACATTCTCCTCTGCACCTGCGGGGACTGAATCCTCTTTAACTGACTAAAGGGAAGATAAAAACAAAAGTAAGAGTCAGAATGTTACCAAAAAATGGAGAGTTCTTTGGGCCAACAGCCCTCTGGTGCCATTCTTGGACACTGAATTGCTCACGCACACCTGGTTCCAAAGAGAACTTGAGAGAGACTCATGCGGGATCACACGGTACAGCAAGATGATAAATAGTTATGTATTTGAAAATGCAACGAAGGGAAAATAAATACCCAGACGCGGCCAGGACACGAATGGAGTGGGGGAGAAGCGTTGCTACAGAAAACACAGACCCCAGCCTCGGCTGTGGGTCAGCGACACGTCTGCCTTAACATTTTCTGCTTGTTGATGAAAATCACACAAGACACAGTCGCTGTCAGGTAAAAACAGTGCTGTCAAAGGTCGAGGCCACCATTACATGATGACCGTTTGCGAAGCTTCAACTTTGGAGATGATCTTTGCAGTTGTTCTTAAATTTGGCAGGGAGGGGTTGTGGAGGGGTGATGTTCGCAGACCGCTTTGAGACCCGCTTGGCAGATCTGGACTCTCTTTCCAGAAAAATAAACACGAACCAAATATTTTGCCCATCATTTTAGGGTGTTCATAGCTGGATGTCAGGCTAAGAACTCTTCCCTACGTTCATTTTGTTCTAAGTCCTGTGCTTATTTTTACCTTTAAACTATGCAGGAGGGGGGGAGAAAGGAATCGACCTTCCCAAATACGTCTCCCTGTGCCGTGGACACGGATCGTACACCTGCATCTACCTTGTATGTGCAGGGGCTTTGTACACACCATCGCACCGAAAGTGGCCCCAGGCGGTCAGGAGGGTGATCGTCATTTATGTAGACAGAAATGGAGACACAGGGAGGCGAAGTCACTTGTTCAAGGTGGTACAGCTAGGGAGCGGTCGAAGTGGTTCCAAGAGCCAAGTTCCAAGACCCTCAGACCTCAAGGGTCTGAGTCACGCTTTGTAGTAGCTGTGTGAGCTTCCTTCTCCACGCCCAGATTTGCTTTCTCTCTAGATGACATGTTCAGCTTGGGCCACATTTATCAACAGTAGCTCTACGGAACCCGTTCTGTGAGCCGAGCCTGGATCTCACATGTAACGTATACCTGCACCAGCGCTCAACACACAATGACAACTGGAGGCTTCAGGCGGTGTCCCCCTTTCCTCCTCACGTTTCCCACCGAGCAGAAAGCCCACGGGCAGAGCAACCAGCAGCACCGAATTGCAATTCGCTCTTTCCCACAGCCAGGGGGTCCGGTGTGATAGATGGAAGACGAGAATGAAAACTGGACGGTGCTGCTGATGCAACGGCTCACTTCAAAGCAGACGACAGGGGCTCTTTCGGCACAAGTCCCATTTCTGCAGGCCGGGAGGTGCTCGTTGGGTTCCCAAGCTCTCCGGTGAGAAGAACACAAGAGGGTGTGGGGCTAATCGGGAGCCACATGGAGCGCAGGACTCCCATTCAAATCTCAAACTAGAAACTTCTCGTCTCCTTCAATGAACTGGGCATCTGGCTGTTATCCGCTGAGCCTACGGACTGTCCGGCCTCCTTCACAATCCCAACCAAAACCCACTTTGAAACTAAAGGATCCTGCTTGGGCATTTATATTGCTGAGAACGAGGGCCTAAACAGCTCCTGAACTCATCAGTATAAACTCACACAGCAAAGGATCCCGTCCTTTGAAGAGCACATTCGTGAAAGGATGTTTCTTTAAAATCCCGTCACATGGTAGCACTTAAGCCAACAGACATCCCGTGGCTAGCAGGTCTTCTGGAAGCATCATTTTGATCATGTGACAGCTGTTCTGAGTTCACTGGTTTCACAGTGGCCCTAAGACCTTTCCTCAAGCTTAGACGTTTCGGCCCGCCTTTCAAGTGCTTCCATAATTGTCCGGCCATATGCCAGACTCTCTTAACCAGGATTCCCGTGGGTTCTGGGATCAAATGCAGGCATCTGTGTTTGAAGCAGATAACTCAGAGGATCCAGAGGATTTTCAAAGTCCTCTCAGTCTGTTTTGACCTACACCGACTGCTCCCTTTTCTAAACACCCACAGCATTTGTAACCTGCACCCCACACATTAACACCGGATTCCAACATCATCGTTTTGGAACAGGGCCAGTCACTTTGCATTCGTTCTCCGACTCAGTCCTCCCACTAACCACAGAAGGTAGATGCCACGGTCTGTCCCCAGAGCTGAGGAAAGTGAAGCATGGGGGATTCAAGTCACCCCATCACATTCAAACGGCCAGTAACTGTCAGAGCTGAGATTTGATGATGTGTCTCTTTGACTTCAGGGCTCCCATTATTTTTCCGACACCATCGTTCCTCTCCTCCAAAGGAAAGCAGGAAAAGCTGCTTTCCGGGCTAAGAACTCTTCCCTATGTTCATTTTGTTCTAAGTCCTGTGCTTGTTTTTACCTTTACACTATGCAGGAGGAGGGGAGAAAGGAATCGACCTTCCCAAATACGTCTTCTTGCGCCGTGGACACGGATTGTATACCTGCATCTACCTTCAAATACCCATTTGAAGATATTTCAAATGTAGCATTTATTAATGGTGCACGTGCACACACACTTGCGGGTGCAGGCATGTGTATGTGCCTTGTTCCCCCAAATGGACTTTAGGTGTTTCGACAGCAGTACAAATGAGCCTTAGTCTTGTTTTGTGCCTTTTGTTGGCATCAAACGCCACACATGGATGTTTAGATCATCACCAGCAACTGTTCATACCTGAAGAAATGATAAAACTGTTCGTGGAGCCCTTACTATGTCCGAGGGTCTCTCTGGGTACAGTTATTGGACTGTCACAACAACACAGTGAGATGAACACGTCCCTACTTACACAAAGGAAAACAGAGGCTTTCGGTGGTCAAGCAATTTGTCCAAACTTTCTGATTCTGTCTGTTATGCAAGACTTGCCACATACAAGAAATTTTCAAGATCATCTATTTCCTTTCAAGATCAACCCTTTCCTTCAACAGATGAGGAAAAAGAAACTCAAAGAGGCTGAGTAACTTTTGGGAGGTCACAGAACAAATGGTATACCAAAGACCCCAGAACAATAAAGGGCATAGGTAGTCCAGTCACTGGACTCGAAGCAGTTTTTGGCAAATACGACATCATTTGAACTTAATTTTCTCAAAGGTTATTTTTGTTATTTTTGTTTTATAATAAATGACTTTCGCAATCAAGCCTATAAATCAAAATAACTTATAATCTCGTATCCACAGCGTGTTAGGGGAGAATTTTATTTCTGATGTTCATATTGTGGACGCACACACTTCAAAGTCAGTTTGCGTAAAAGCTTCTCAGTTACAAGAGGAGAAGAAAGAGAGCTTGGGTTAGCGGAAATATCAAAATTCTCTAGCATTCCTCTTTGTTTCTTTTCCAAAAATTTTTACAACAGTGATTTTATAATCAAGTGTTTTCTAATTTGAAGAAAACAAAGGTCTTCATTTTGTTTTCTACTAAAACATACATCCCCCCATGAGATTTTCAGCTACACAAGGGGATCAGTCTGTTCGCTCTATCTTTTCAATGCCTTAGCACCCAGCACTTAGCACAAAAAAACTCAGCACAAAGAAAGAAGCTAAAAATACTCTTGCATGAGTGAATCTCGCCTGTATTTTACGTTCATCTAGAGATGTCTTCCTGATTAGGTGGAAGAAAGAAAAACAAGATTTACCGGTGACTGGGTTTTAGTGTCTCTTCATTATTTTTATAATCTACTCAAGAAATAAAGCCAGATAATCGAGGAAAAGGAAAAAAACCAATGAGACTGACCTGTATGAAATCTGATCATTAGGGGGATGAATGTCAACTGGTCCTGTTTTTTCTTCAATGGAAATAGCTTGAGTTTCAAAGAGGAACCAATATATCCCTCAGAGACCCCAAAGATAAGGAAAAATAAAGTATTTGAGGCTCAGTAGCTTAGCAACTTCTCCAAACTGGAGGGTATAGAAAGAGGAAGTGTGTCCCCTCCTGAACACGCAGGAGATAAATGACATAGGTCAGAAGGACAATTCATTGGCCACTTTTTTTTGAAAGTTTATTCATTTATTTTGAAAGAGAGAGGGCGTGTGCATGAGCAGGGGAAGAACGGAGAGAGAGGGAGGGAGAGAATCCCAAGCAGGCTCTGTGCTGACAGTGCACAGCCTGACACAGGGCTTGATCCCACAAACTGTGAGATCGTGACCAGGGCTGAGATCAAGAGTCAGAGGCTCAACTGACTGAGCCACCCAGGCCCCTGTCATCGGCCACTTTTGTGCTAGGCGTGGTGTTAGGGGGTTTGCGGGCATTCTTTTTATCTAGTCTTCATTTCTCCGTCTAGATACCCTTATTATTTGCATTTTATGAATTTTGAAACTGAGGCTGCTCATCCAGGCTCATCGGACCCAGAGTCAGATCTGTCTGCGCCAATCAGCGTTCCTCAGACTTCCATCACTTGCCAGCCTCCTGCATGGTCTTGGCCACATTTCATGTACCTTCTGCGGCAGCCACGGAGTGTGCCGTTTCCCTGCTGGGAGAGCTTCCCACCCACACCTCTTCGGCATCCACTACCGAGTTAATGTTGAGGCCACGCTCCCAGGCAATGACTGAGCACGGCAGGGTACTGGGCCATTCTTGCTCAACATACGACTCCTCGTGGGCAAGCTCTGCTCTGGGATTTCCCGTTGGCTCAGAGCCACCCTGAGTCCATGGCTTTTCTGACCTTCTCCGCCTTCCTTCCCTGTCTCTCTTCTCCCGTGTCAGACCCTCACTATGGTGTGAAGTCTCTCTCTACCTACTCCTATCCCCTGTCCTTTATCCTTCATGCCGCTTGCCTCCAATAAATCTACTGCACATCAATTCTGTCTCAGTGTCGCTCCTTGAAGGATCCAAATTTATGATCAGGTAACAGTTCCTTTTTAATAGGATTGCTTCTTAAGCTAAACATCTACAGTCTCACCTTGAACAACATATATATTAAATCTTGAGTTTAATGTGCTGGCTCAATTTTTCTAATACACTTTAAATATGTATAATTGTTTAAATAAAAATGTTTGAGTACGGGTTGCCTAAGTCATCTTCCTGGCCACCAAACTGCACATCTGATTCACTCGGGAACTGTTGCCTGCCTTGTATTGGTGATAAAAGCTTTTTTGAAAGTAAGTAATTGGCGGTTGGGAAGGAAGGAGACCAGAACAGGATGCCAAATGACATCACCCAAAGTTTTCATTAAGTATTAGAGTTTGTGTTTTGGGCAGGACCCAGAAGAAAGATATCTGTGCAACAGAAAACAAACAGGGAAGAGTTCCAGAAATCCAGCTGGATTCTGGACCAAAGAATACAACGAACACCACAGGGGCATCTGTATTAATCACCTGCCTTGTATTGCGTGCCAAGTTTTGCACGTTTTGCGTGGATGTTTTGATGAAATTACTAATTAGATCTTTTTCAGCTCTATGAATTATATTCCACTTTCTCACCCACGGCTTCTTGCTCATCTTTTGGCCACACTTAAAAGAGGCAAGAGTTCTGAACATGTGTGGCAGCTGGGGTTTGCTCAACAACGATGATCAAGGAATAGCTCTCAGACTGACTCAGCCCCACCCACCACACTCCCTTGCACGCCACCTTAATTCTAGAGGGAAAAAGATCGGACGGTGGTGTGAATGCCCCTATCACAGAGCACGCTGTGTGCCCTGCCCTGGTGGAGAATGGTGGACACCTTGGTTTTCTAAAAGGAGAGTGAGCCTTAGTGGTTCCTAATGACAGATTATATCTTGCAGGGAAAGAGGGAGGGAGCCCAGAGGTGGTTCAGCTCGCTGGAGTGAGAGTGCTCGGAGGAATCCAGGAAGAAGCCAGACTACTAAGCCATTTTAGTAAGAAGATGAAGTCACGAAATACCACAACTGTCTGTCATGAGCCGGAATAACTCCAAGAATGAAAAAATCTGCTTGTTTATTTCCTTTCCTTTCCCGTGAAACATATGCACATGACACGATAGGCATTTCACTCTTCCCAGGAGTAAATTACAAGTCTTCAACTCAATGGCTAATTGAGTCATTTGGGAGAAGAAAAATAAACTGCGTGCTTTGTGAGCACATGAATTGGCCCAGTTGAAATAGTTTCTCAAGTCTTCCGAGCCCCAAAGTCTCCCCAAGTCTTGAAAATAGAACTTACCTTTTTCCAGAACAGTTTGCTCAGAGGCAGAGAGGTGGGTGCCCCCTTTTCCTTGGGGGCTTCCTTCGCTGTTTCAGAGGATGTAGGATTCTTGGCCGTCCCTCTGGTCTCCTGGGATATAAAGTTAGCTTTGTCTGACTGGACGTCAGGTGACGGGACAGGTGGCTTTTCCGCACCCTATAGAGTAAAAAAAGAAGTAAAAATTAAAGTGATGTCAGGATTCCAAAAGCGAAAGGGCTCTTTTTTATAAATACAGGCTGGGGTTATGCATGTTAGTTTTCTTTTTCACAATTTTCTGTGCTTGCAAATATTCTATGTGAATGTGGATTTGTGTTAAAATTTTGGAAGAAGTCAAGTTATTTTCCTTTTGCAAAAAACTATATTATGTTCTTGTAAGTCATTAGGGATCAGGGTGCTCGTAGGAGGCACTTTGCTGTTAGAATGTTGTTAGTTCATATCGAGTGGCCTTCAAGTGGTTTTGATCATGTTCCCACCAGTAAAAACATCTTGAAGAGGCACCTCCAATACATCCGTGTTCCTATTATAAACGTATATTATTTCACTCGTCCAAATTAGACATTAAAGGAGGTATAAGGGACATAAGGAAAGTATAGGTATAAGGGACATAATCTCCAACTTGCAGCTTTTAATAAAACTTAACTTTTACGAAAAGGTACCTGTGCCAGGCACTGCTCTAAGGGATCGAATGTACTAACAATAGCTCTACGAGGAAGGAACTAATTACTATGTTCATTTTACAGTGAAGGAAATGTTGGTCCCAGGTTGTTATAAAAAAAAACTTCCCTACGACTACACTAATAAGGGGGCAGAGTTGACATCAAAATCCAGGGAGTCTGATACCCACACCCAAACTCTTACCAGCTCCCCTATAATACCCTGCCTCTAATGAACTAAGGTCTCCCCACTCCCTGTGCTATCGTATGCAGCCAGGGAGAAAATGTCTAAAAAAAAGCTTCATGGCCAGAAGGTGAGAATGACAAAAAAATTGAGAAACACATCTACACCCATCAGTTTCATTGGGAAACTGATGGGTACTCTTTTTCTCTTTACACTGGGAAAGTACCCAGAGACCCTTGAAAAAAACATCGCAAGAGGATAACTCTATTATATATAGAATAATATAACTGTAGTATATTTGTGTAATTGTTCGTTGAATAGGCACCTCCCTGGCCAGACCATGAGCTCTGAGGGTAAGAGCCATTGCTTTGGTCAGCATTATATCCCTAGCTCCCATCAGGCCCAGTGTCTGGCATAAGATAGGCATTAAATAAATAGCTAAATAATTGTCTAGAAAGGACTAGAGAGCAACGCCTACACGGGATCCTGTTATGTTGTGTTTCTACCCACCCTGCCCCCCATTACTGGGCTATGGGGTCATAGGCTACCAGTAGTCTTTTCTCCTTGCCCACCCATCTCCTCACTTCCCAACGAAGTGCCCCAGATGGTGTTCTGCCAGCATAAACTGAATTAATACTCTGTCTGCATTATGGAAGAGATTACAAAAATTCTGTGTTTTTTGGAGTCAATCTCCTGGATGGATTCAGATATGCCAAATACAGCAAACACTCTCAGTAATGAGAATATAAGATACCCTGTCCATTTGCATTTCAGATCAACAAAGAAAAATTCTGAGGCATCGGAACATAGGTCCCCGGGACATATTTATCTTTATATTAAAAAATTATTTGCTGTTTATCTGAAATTTGAATTTGGCGGAGTATCTGTAGGTTATCTGGCAACCCCACGTATGAAATTCTAACATTAGATTTGGAGATTGCATTTCAGATGACCTTACCTTCTTCCCTAATATGTCTTCACATTTGGGTGTGGGAGAGGAGAAGGGTTAGTAAGATATAAACATTACACTGAAGTGGAAAACAATGACCGTATGGCAGAGCTTATGAATTAAATGAGCCAGCTACTAAAATTTTAGCTGCCCTGCAGAGAGGGCAGACATCAGGAAAACCTGAGTGGGGAGAGGAGCATTCCTGGGCATGGCAAAAAAAGTCCTAAAACAATGCCTTGCTTTGTGTGCATGTTGTCATGTTCAATGTTAGAAGAACATGTGAAAAAGTTTGATTCTGAAGCATAGCATGTGACGAAGCCAAGAGAAAAAGATCCCGATTCAGCAAAGCAAAGCTGACGCTCTTATTATTTATAACAATAAGCTTATTTCGCTTATTAACTCCTGGCCTCCCTACTTTTTTAAACCAAGAAAAAAAATGTTTAAGAAAATTCTTCTTATAGAAAGAAAAATTGAGATACAGAGAAATGAGCCTAGGAGTTGATCACGACTGGTAACCACTGCATTTTTTTTTTTTAATAGCAAAACCAGAAGATGATGTTTAATCCCTGAATTTGCTTGGATTTCCTCTTTTCTGTCCTGGGTTCCAACGAAATTGAGGGTGAGTGGCACAGCTCCTATAATCATGCCACAATCTGGCTGGTTGGTCTTAATGGCCCTATTTCTCTTTCTGTTTGGATGACAAACGAAGAAAAAGGAGGCAAAAGCCAGTAAGTTCTACCAAACTCCTGCAAAAATGAGAATTGAGAACATTTGAGAATTGTCTCCTACTTTTACACAAAAAATAGACTGAACGTAACTCAAGGCAAAATCTTTCAGTCCTTGTGTTGGCATTACAGAATCCCAGGAAGGGGCACCTCTTCTTGCCAGTATTTCCCGAATCCTATCTTTGCCCGAAATGCAAGGCAGTGGCAGGATGTGAGAGCAATGATCGGGGGAGAAACCTTAGGAATACTGAACTTGGGTGGTCCCCTTTGTGTGGAGGAAAGAGATTCTGGAGACATGAAACTTTGCTGTGCATGAAATGAATTTCCTAATGAAATGCAGACATGAGGGGGAAAGTCATACGTTTTGTAAACTTTCAGGGCCCCCTCCTCACAGAAGCTCCGGGTGGGAATTCGGCTGGATGGCTTTGCATAAGGTCTATGACACATTTCGCTAGCAATTACCAAATTGTCTCTCACATAGAGTAGCACCACTTTTTAATCTCCAACCCCCCCACCCGCCCCCCACCCCGTAATTTCTATCACTCCGCCCTCTCTGTCTTTACAAAACAAAATAAGCCTGTGTGGAAATTAAAGCGTGTCTTCATAACACGGTTTGCTTATGCAAATATAGATGCAGCCAGGAGATCTTTCTATGGAGCCTTTCTTTGCATACACCATCCTGGGACTCTAACATCCAGCTGGGGAAGGTTTTTTAACAAGTTCATTCAACCTAGTGGAGAATGGTTGATGTTTTAAACACATGTCCAACGAATGGATAAAGAAGATGTGGTTTATATATACAATGGAATACTACTTGGCAATGAGAAAGAATGAGATCCCGCCATTGGCAGCAACGTGGCTGGGACTGGAGGGTATTGTGCTGAGTGAAATGAGTCAGGCAGAGAAAGACAGAGACTGTATGTTTTCACTCCTGTGTGGATCTTGAGAAACGTAACAGAAGACCGTGGGGGAGGGGAACGGGGGAAAAGAAGTTACAGAGAGGGAGGGAGGCAAACCATAAGAGACTCTTGAGGACTGAGAACAAACTAAGGGTAGATGGGGGGTGGGGGAGAGGGGAAAGTGGGTGATGGGCAGGGAGGAGGGCACTTGTTGGGATGAGCACTGGGTGTTGTATGGAGACCAATCTGACAGTAAATTATATTTAAAAAAATAAAATAAAATAGATAGATAGATAAATAAATAAATAAATAAATAAAATAAACAATGTCCAAGCATGCTGGCCCAATTCAGGGATCTTAACTGGTGGTTTCAGACGAACGCTGGTGTCTTCCTAGAAATTGAGAGTGAAATCTTCACAACTAATTCTATGTTGTCCTCACTTTCCAAGGACATGGAGATAGAAATTGCTCTGCCTTCATTCATTGTTTCGTTCTGTCTGGGCTTTTATTTGGGCTCAGGATGAGCTTAGTTGATACTGAAAATGGAGGGAACAGGCCACAGAAAGATAACGTTATTTTCTTGAGGTTAGAAGAGTATTTCCCAAAGCGTAGGAAGCATACCATCGGTGGCATCACAGGTAATTTTAGGTTGCGCAGAGACGTAACGCTTAATAACATGAAAATGCAAAAATACTTTTCTTTTTTCAACTCGCATTTAATCTTCCTGAGAACTTTCGGGGAAAAGCTCAGTCTGGTGCCGGTATATCTTTAACATTTTTCTATTGCTGGCAAATTGCATTTTAATGGAGCTAGAAAGGCATTGGATTCGGAGCTTAACACAAACAAGGTAGCTAGAAGGTCGTTATTTTTTAATTAGCCATATTAATGGTTACCTCTTTGTGAAAAATGACTCCAGTTTTCCATGTATGATGTAATAAAAGTTTTCTTTAAAGATACCTTTAAATAGGAATTGAGTCCATTTTAATGAAAAAGATCAACTGAACCGTGCTAAATCTGACAAAAATGATTACGATAGTATGCATACTTTCGACGTTTGGGAAACACGGAGTTAGAAGGATCATTCCAGAACCCTGGTCCACACTAGGAAGAAATGAGCCAGATGTTTATTTATAACTATGGAGATTTAAAATAATCATTGAAATTTGATTCACAAAATCTTTAATGCCCTCTAATGATCCCAATCATACAAAGCTGTCTTCCCTGAAGCAGGGCTGAGGGGACATAGGACATGGGACAGCCACCTGTACCATGTGGTGAAGACCAGGGTTCTTTCTTTTTTTTTTTTCTTTGTCATTTAACAAGATACAGACCTTATGCCTAAAGAATTTCCTAAAGGCGAATCCTAGCCTGGGGCTATGCAGGGGCTTTTTCTTGGTGGCTTTAGCTTGGATCTCACAGATCTTCTGCCCAGCTTGTCCATCACAGACACTTTCTGCTTTGGATGCCTTTTGGGCAACAGCGGTCACAGCTTAGAACTTTGTTTTTAGACAAAATCCATTTTTTCCCATTGTTTTTAAGTGCATTGAAACGCTTTGACAATTAACTGCCGAGACAGCACCCCCCCATCCCCAAACCAGAACATTCCCATCACGTAAATGACTCTCTTTTCTGAAACGCTCAGAGACAATGTGCTGCACAGTATATTCACAGTCTATTTCAAGCACACCTTAATTTTCATCAGGGCGACCTACTTAAATGACCCAGATTAACACGACTTGCTAAAGACAAGGACCAGACATTTAAGCTCCGACTATATGATATAAAATATTCAGATTTAAAAAAGATACACAGCCCCTACTTGACAGTTTTAAATATCTAAATGCTATTGTCACATGGGAAGGAAAAAAATACCTGAAGACACACAATTTATTTTTGCATCCGGAGTCAAGGCAAACACTGCCTTGAGTGGCTTCCTTTCTCCAAAAGATCTTTGATTCAGTATTAGAAACCTCAGGGAAGCAGGATCATCCGTAAAAATTTCAGCTGACTTCTAGACAAGCAGATCTCTCTGGCAAAAAAAGTGTCCACTGTGTGCCAGTCCACAGAGCCAGAGTGGGGGTGGGGTGGGGGGAGATTGGAACTGAAATAACCCAGCGACAACCATTCAGAATTGTTGACTCGAGTTACAAATGGCGGGGGATTTTGTGTGGGGCGTGTAGTGTGCTAAAAACTGTCTGGGCCAGATGGGAAGATGGACAAATGGTGTAGATGTTTCAAATGCAAGGATCCAAGAACTTCAGTAGAAAGGATGTTAAAAAGGCAGGTTTGTATAAAGGGATCTGTTTGTATCATAGACAACCTACATTCACAAAACTCTCTTTTGAGACTCGGTTCTACCAGCAGTGACCTTGACCTCTCTGGGCAGGGTAGTGAGATTTTATCAGCTATGTACGTGCAGTTGGGACCACATTCTGGGGGGGGAAGAGTCTTGGTGTATGAGCAGCGGAAGAGAATGAGCGCCATCGGGTCACTTGAGAAGCCACGCAATTCGCCCACATACCCCACTGTTTTTAGCCTATTGTGCTGACTATGTGACTTTAAACCATGCAAGACACAGAATCAAAAGAGAAACATTTGGATGCAACTATTCATTGAACTTGACCCTAGCTGACTTGCAGCAAATGACTAATTTTAAAAGAAATGCATGTAGATGACTCATATACATATATATATTTTTTCTAACATAAGAAGAACATTCTGGAAGGACCAATCAATACAATACAAATGCAATAGTGGTGGTTCAATATGTCCTGCAGCAATTATGGAAATCGTGATCACCTACATTTGAATAGAATTCCGTGGTTTACCAGGCATTGTCATATTTTCATTCAATGCTGGGGGATGGGGGGAGATGGAATTTTTGTTGTCCTGATTTGACAGATGTTGAAATTTGGATTCACATAGGTTAGGATCACATCATACAGCTACCACATAGCAGGACCGGAGCTCAAACGCAGGTCTTGAGATAAATTCCAGGATCCTTTTCACAACCTGGCCCCTTTGAAAATTGGTAACAGATGTATCGGGCTGGCCACGCCATTTATTTGGTCCCAGTGTCTTTCAAAGCAGTTATCAAAACGAGGACCCAAGACACTTATCTGTCACCAAGTTAAACTTTCCTCCCGATTCCCGTGAAAGTTAAACCATGTGTTTCCATTAGGGATAATCAGTTCTGTCAAGTGTAAAGGAAAACATCTCTAGAAAGTAGTTGATCCAAACAAAATTTATTTTGAGGGGAATTGGTTGAATCTCTAGGAAGACGGGAAAAAACTCGGTCTCTCTAGGGCATCCTAATTCTAAACATTCCTTCCTTTGGCAAGTGTCCAATGGTGACTATTTCATTTCACCAAACAACTGCCTTCGTGGTGATTTATTCTTTTCAAATTACATGAAAGACACAGAATGTATTTTTTAGAAACCGGAAATATGGCAGCTTACTTCTACTTCCAATTGGGTCTCATTTCTTTCTCATTTCCAGTGGCTTCTCCATACTCTGTACCCTATTCCTATATTCCTTGGGTCTCTCTATACACAGCTAACAAGACTACATGATACATGGTTACCGGTATTCAGTTCTTACTTTATATAAGAAACTGGTTACTGTGACATTATATATCCAGAGTTAGCATATATTTCAAGCTTTCCACTAAAATTTTCATTAAAATATCATTGACATGAATGAAATGTTTTAAAGACAGTCTAACAGCACTTTTCAATCACTAAATATGTAGGTAAGTATACACGTGCCTACACACACATGCACACACACAAAACTCAGGACGCGAAACAGCAGATGCAAACCCAAATCCAACTCTACACCCAAACCCAAGCGTCACCCTTCAAACTACCTACCGTATCTTCCAGATCTTTTTTTGTTTCAGCTTTGTTAGGTGAAACCTTAAAATGCAAGAACACCAAATATTAAAAATCATAGCTAGCTCATTAGGTAGGGTGATTTGATTTCATAGATACATTTTTTTTGTCTTTGTTTTTTTTCTGGGGGATGGTGGTAAAATTCACTCTGCTGGTAAAGAATGTAATGAGAAGTCCTTTCCAGTAGAAAGGAGTTCTACCAAGTTCAGTAGAAAACCACGGACTTCTGGATAATTTCTAGGTATAGAAAAGCTAAAAAAGGGGCGCCTGGGTGGCGCAGTCGGTTAAGCGTCCGACTTCAGCCAGGTCACGATCTCGCGGTCCGTGAGTTCGAGCCCCGCGTCGGGCTCTGGGCTGATGGCTCGGAGCCTGGAGCCTGTTTCCGATTCTGTGTCTCCCTCTCTCTCTGCCCCTCCCCCGTTCATGCTCTGTCTCTCTCTGTCCCAAAAATAAATAAACGTTGAAAAAAAAAAAAAAAAAAGAAAAGCTAAAAAAATTAATATTTTATAATGAAATGTATCAGATCTTACACATTCACTAAGGGCTTGACCACATTCAAAACCGTCTCCTGGAAGGCCACGGATTTCCCATGAATTCTACCACCAATCCAAAGAAATGCACAACCCTTTGGTGTTTGTGGCACGTTCTGTTGACTTGTTTTACCTTTTGAAGTTACTCTAGGACTTTGGAAATAACTCGAACACACCTGCAGCTGTCTGTTTGATCATTCATTCATTCATTCAGCCCTCTTTTGCATGTCTGACATGTGACTGTCTGTGGCTTCCTTGAGGAATCAGAGATAAGCAAGCAATACAAGACACGGGTCCTTGCCTCTATGCAGTTAAAGTAGATTTAGATGTAACAAGATAGGGAATTATTTCTATAGTTTTATCTGCCATTTGGGCGGCAAAACTACGTCGATAGGTCCACAACTCAAGGAGCTATTTTCCAACTATGTTTATGATCAATGACCATAAGACATGAAACTACTGTAGAGTTCCATGACAACACAGCTCATGTCACACACAGTTTGGGCACCCAACGTTCATATCATGGTCCTCAGCTCTGAGGACAGCGTGATGTGACATGATCCCCTTGCAAGGCACCTCTTGTCCCCATTCTCCAGTGTTCCAGCTGCACTATCATGGCACCCCATTCAATACAATGACATCCAAGTACGTGTTATTCTTAGAATTAACCAAACTTTTGAGCAATGGGATTGAGGAAAGAGGGGGAGGAAAACACTTACCAGAGTTTTAAAGAAGCTCATGATGGAATTGCGATTCTCTGTTGTATCTGTTGCCTGGGGGTCCTCCTTTGCAACGTCCAGTTCCTCTGGGTCCCCGGGGAAAGAGCACCTCACAGTTGGGATCTCTTGTCCTTCCTTCCCCTTGCTGTCAACTATGTCCTAGGTGTCAAACAGAGTCGTCACAGTTTCCACTTGTTGAATGTGGACTCTCACAGCAATATTTTTGCTTCACACCCCTCTCTCCCTTACCCCCTAATTCCAGCCATACTTCTTCTGCCCACGGGGATGCAGAACAATCGGGAGCTTATGAGAATCACTCTTCCTTCCCCTCCTCTGCTTTCTAACATATTCAGCATTTGCAGTCAGTTGGAGGGACATTGTTTGGAGCCAGAGGGGAACAAACACAGCAGGGCACGTTGCATCCCCGAACAAAACCTCTTTTCTCCCAATTCTACAAAGAGGCTGTGTATGATGCCAATATTTCCCAACTTCGTGGTCACCTAGTCTAACGATCCGTACGTTAGCCCCAGAGACGCCTCCATTTGACTTCCCACAATCTCCACAGTAAGAATCATATCAGCTTTTTAAAAGTACCGTTGTTTTATTTTTTATTTTTTTAAAGTTTATTTATTTTGAAAGAGAGAGAGATTGAGCAGGAGAGGGTCAGAGAGAGAGAGAGAAAGAGAGAGAAGGAGAGAGGGAGAGAGAATCCCAAGCAGGCTCCGCACATTCAGCACAGAGCCCAATGTGGGGATCGAACTCATGAACCATGAGATGGTGACCTGAGCTGAAATCAAGAGTTGGATGTTCATCCGACTGAGCCACCCAGAGGCCCTTAGCCCTGTCCTCCTTTCCCCATCTCTACAGCCCTAGCCTAAGCCAGGTTACTTCAAACCCATTCATTCTTCAGGCTTGATCTCGAGTTTCCCTCCCCCTCCCCCCACCACTGACATCCCTCTGGGTCTTGCCGGCCACGACATCTGTTTCCTTCTCTGAGTTTCTGTGCCCCGTTCTCCTCTGCACTCACTTTGGACGCAGGTTATGTACGTAAGATTAGCCCAATGCCAGAGGCCGGGCCAGAATAGCCTGCATTAAAAATGGGGCTTTTGTGGGACAGCTATAAAAATACAAAAATACATTTTGATGAATATTTTAAAAGGTAATAATAACACACGTATCCTGCAAGGTTTGGCTCAGCCCCGGCACTCTTTCTAAATGGAGAGGTGCTTCTCGTGAAATGTCTCATAAAGAAGTGGAACTTCGTAAAACTAAAAGCAGATAAAAGCTATGGCCTTGACAAGCTTCTTGGGTTTTCTAGTTAATTCCAGGCAAAAACTGTTTTGCTTTGGAAGAGAGGCTCTTTTGAAAAAAAGAAAGAAAAAAACAGGTTTCACGTGAGTTGAATTTTTTTTTATTCTAAGGTATAATGTAGTGATACCAACATTATTTATTCAGTTGATAGGAAGGATGGTTGAAAATGTTGTTTATAGCGGATGAGTGGTAAGATACCTACAGGTACGGGGATTTCATGTTAGGTGCTACGCACGCGCACACAGAAAGTTATTGTTTTGGTGTGCTTTAAAAAAATATTATTCCTGGCACCAGATCTTTGGTACTGTGGATATTTTTCCTTAGGTGAAGCTGAGTGAAAAGAGATTAAAAAAAAAAAAAAGTTAGTTAACATACAGTGTAGTCTTGGTTCCAGGAGTAGAATCCAGTCACAAACAACACCCAGTGCTCATCCCAACAAGCACCCTCTTAATGCCCATCCCCCATTTAGCCCATCCCCCATGTCCCCTCCAGCAATCCCCAGTTTGTTCTCTGTATTTGAGAGTCTCTGATGGTCTTCCTCCCTCACTGTTTTTATCTTATTTTTCCTTCCCTTCTGTTATGTGCATCCACTGTGTTTCTTAAATTCCACAGACGAGCAAAATCATATGGTATTTGCCTTTCTCTGACTAATTTCGCTTAGTGTAATACCCTCTAGCTCCATCCACGTCTTTGCAAATGGCAAGATTTCATTCTTTTTGATTGCCAATTAATACTCCATTGTATATATATACCACATCTTCTTTACCCATTCATAGTTCCTCTCTAAATAACACCAGCATTCTTCACAGAGCTAGAACAAACAATCCTAAAATTTGTATGAACCGGAAAAGACCCCAAATAACCAAAGTCATGTTGACGAAGAAAACCAAAGCAGGAGGCATCACAATCCCAGACTTCAAGCTGTATTCCAAAGCTGTAATCATCAAGACAGGACGGTACTGGCACAAAAACACACACATAGATCAATGGAACAGGATAGAGAACCCAGAAATGGACCCACAAATACACGACCAACTAATCTTCGGCAAAGCAGGAAAGAGTATCCGATGGGAAAAAAAGATGGTCTCTTCAGCAAACGGTGCTGGGACAACTGGACAGCGACGTGCAGAAGAATAAAGAGAAAATTTTAAATAAAACTTGAAACAAAGAATATTATACCAATAATCCAACAGGTGTTTTGGGCGATGAGCCATTTTGAAAGTGGTACAAGGAATAAATCTAATTGAGAGGTGTCCCACTGGGTCTGACTTATGGCGCTGCCTAGGACAGAGTTATCTCGGTTCACTCATGCGCTACGTGGGGGAACTTGGACTGTGCCCAAGCTTCAGAGAGACCACGGAGGGTTAGCATGGGCTCTGGAGCTGGCAGTCCGGACACTCCCCACTCCACCAGATCTGTAGTTGCCTAAACCAGAAAAAATGAGCACAGTCAAGAAAGGACAATGGCACCAGCAAGGCAAAAAGACCAGAGCCCTTTTCTCTCAGTCCTTCCTCCCCGAACTCACACACCTGAGGACAGAGAAGTAAGAGAGAAAATCCTGTTCCTTCCAGATTACAAGTCCAAGGTGGCATCAGAGCTTGGCTCCAGAAAAGAGAATGGATATGAGTCCCGAATGGGACTGGACTTTTGAATCACTGCAAGGTTTGGGATCTATGACAGCATAAGAGTTAGGAAGGAAACTATTTATTGAACGTCTACCGGGTGCCTCAAATGGACACATTTGCTGGGAATACAGCCGTGAGGGAGACACACACAGCCGTGTTCTCAGACAGCTGACATTCCAGCAGGGAGGCAAAGCAAAACCCAACAAAAATACAGAGGGACCAATAAGTGAACTTCATGACTCAGGAAGTGAAGACTGCAAGAGAAAACATGAAGAAGATGAAAGAACAGAGGGTGAATTAGTCACTGGGTGAAATCCTCCAAGAAGGTTATGGGGGGGGTGGGGGAGGCATCTATTCTGCGGGGG